TGCCTGTAATTCCAGCTACGTGGAAGGCTGAGGTGGAAGGATCGCCGGAGCCCAGCAGGTCGAGGCTGCGGTGGCCGGGAGCGGCCACTGCACTCCAGTCTGGGCGACAGAGTGAGACTCCAACTCAAAAAAAAAAAGAAGCCTGTGTAAACAGATTAAAAACTTTCATAAAATCGTTTTTTTTTATTTAATCTGAGGAAAAAAACACATTTACATTGTATATTTACAACACAGCTTACGGAAAAGCTCCTCACCACCCCACTTCTTTTTTTTTTTTTTTTTGAGTTGGAGTCTCACTTTGTCGCCCAGACTGGAGTGCAGTGGCCGCTCTCCGCCAACGCAGCCTTGACCTGCTGGGCTCTGGCTATCCTTCCGCCTCAGCCTTCCGAGTAGCTGGAACTACAGGCATGCGCTACCATGCCTGGCTAATTTTTTGATTTATTGCAGAGATGAGGTCTCGCCTGCCCAGGTGGGTCTCGAACCCACGGGCTCAGGCAATCCACCCCCACTTCTTTTAGTCTCCTACATTGAGGCCCCGATTGGTCTTCTCCCTCCCTCCCTCCCTCTCTCTTTTTCTTTAAATAGAAACAGGGTCTCACTATGTTGCTCAGGCTGGTCTCGAATTCTGGCTCAAGCAGTTCTCCCAACACAGCCTCCCAAAGTACAGAGATTACATGTGTGAACCACCACACCCAGCCATCCTGCTTGGTCTCTTTTTTTTTTTTTTTTTTTTTTTGAGTTGGAGTCTCACTCTGTCACCCAGACTGGAGTGCAGTGGCCGCTCCCGGACCTGCTGGGCTCCGGCGATCCTTCCACCTCAGCCTTCCAAGTAGCTGGAACTACAGGCGCACACTACCACGCCCGGCTCATTTTGATTTTATTGTAGAGATGAGGTCTCGCCAAGTTGTCCAGGCGGGTCTCGAACCCACGGGCTCAGGCAATCCACTCACCTCATCTTCCCAAAGGCACAAGATTACAGGCTAAGCCACCGAGCCCAACTTGGTCTCTTTTTAATTATTCATCTCAATTAGCTCAGTCTTCTTGAGCAGTTCTTTTTAAAACAAAGCTTTTTTTCAACAAAGTATAAAATGATTTATCATTGACCCCACTTACCAGAAATAACAACTTTTTATAACAATATACACTGAGAACTGGCACAGATGAGGATGTAGCTGTCAAGGGCTTTGCCTCTAGCCAGCTGTGTGGGCTCGAACAAGTTTCTTAACCTCCCTCTGCTTCTGAGTCTCATCAGGGATACTAATAATATGAGCTTCATTGTTGTTTGGTTTTTTTTTTTGAGCCAAGGTCTCACTGTTGCCCAGGCTGGAATGCAATGGCATGATCATGGCTAGCCACAGTCTTGACCTCTTGGATTTAGGCAACCCTTCTGCCTCAGCCTCCTGAGAAGCTGGGACTACAGATGTGCACCACAGCCGGCTAATTTTTTTTTTTGTAGAGATGAGGTCTTGCTTTGTTGCCCAGACTGGTCTCGAACTCCTGGGCTCAAGCAATCCTCCCACCTTGACCTCTCAATGTGGTGAGATTATGGGCATGAGCCACCATGCCTGGCTTCAGTGTTGTTTTGAGGATTAACTGAGATAGTATTTGTAAAGCACTTAGAAAAGCAGCTGTGTGCAAAATAAGTATGTATTGAATGAATAAACATTTCCAGACCTTTCTCTGAGTACAAACAAGCAGGTTTATTTCTCTGAGTACGAAACACACAGGTTTATTTTGTTTTCTCAAAACCAGGATCTTATTTTACGTACTATTCTACAACTTGCTTCTGTTACTTCACAGTGTGACTTGGACCTCTTGCCCTATTACTATGTATACATCTTTCTCATGTTTTGATGAGACTAGGTAATGTTCCCTTATGTGTGTGCCTTCAAAGTGCTTACAGGTCTTACAGTGGTAGCCAAGTTGTTGGCTTCCAATTTTTGCCATTATAGAAAATGCTGCAGGGATTCTCTTGTCACCTCTGGCCTTGCCTATGTATGTATTCCTGTAGGATGTATTACTGGAAGTAAAATGGCTACAGCAAAGAGTATACACATTTGACTTCCAAATTACCCTGTAAAAAGGTGGTTGTATTCCTCCTGAGTGTTGGGTAGGGCCTATTGAATAATGTCCTGACTACCCTTTACTGCTTAAAGCCTTGTAAGCGGCCAGCCTGTAATCCCAGCACTTTGGGAGGCCGAGGCGAGTGGATTATCTGAGCCCGCAGGTTTGAGACCAGCCCGGGCAACTTGGTGAGACCTCATCTCTACAATAAATCAAAAATCAGCTGGGCATTGTAGTGTGCACCTTTAGTTCTGGCTACTTGGAAGGCTGAGGTGGAAGGATCATCAGAACCCAGCAGGTTGATACTGGGGTGGCCGTGAGTGTGCCACTGCACTCCAGCCTGGGTGACGGAGTGAGACTCCAACTCAAAAAAACAAAAAAACCCAAAAAACCTTGTAGGTACTTCCAGAGCTTTTGTGTTGAAGTCCTTTCTCTGATGTCAAAGCCCTCCATAACGTGATCCCATCGATCTTAGTAGCTTCAACTGCCATTGCTCTATAACCCTTCTCCACTTTAGTCTAGCCAGTGGATTTTAATCAGGGTTCTTCCCTCCTAGCCCCCAGGTACATCTGACAATGTCTGGAGATACTTTTGGTGGCGCTACTGGGGAGGGTAAACTACAGGCCAGGGATGCCTCTTCACATCCTACAATGCAGTACAGCCTCCACAACAAAAAGTTATCTAGTCCAGATGTCAATAGGACTTTGGTCAAGAAACCCTACTGGGCTAAGCTGTTGGCTAATGTCTAAAATCACTGGCTACTTACCTGCTTCTAGCTAAACATGACAATGGGTTTTATCTAATGTGTCACTTTCAGTCCCTCCATGTGGGTAACTAGGGCGCTATCTTGAGGATTCCAAATTCTTGCTTTAGGTTCAGTAGGGAAAAATACTATGTCTACCATTTACCAAATTTTAAAGTCACATGGGAGCAGGATGGTATTGTTTTCTTTCTGTTTTCCAGGGTGCCTCATGTATAGTTTTTTACACATAGTTGACAATGAAATATCTTAATGTTGCCTGAATTACAGATACTTTAACAGTGACTAGAGTTTCTGTAGGAGCCTGATCTTTTTTTTTTTTTTTGAGTTGGAGTCTCACTCTGTCGCCCAGACTGGAGTGCAGTGGCCACTTCCGGCCACCGCAGCCTCAACCTGCTGGGCTCCTCAACCTGCTGGGCTCCGGTGATCCTTCCGCCTCAGCCTTCCAAGTAGCTGAAATTACAGGCATGCGCTACCACGCCCGGCTGATTTTTTTGATTTATTGTAGAGATGAGGTCTCGCTGCCCAGGCGGGTCTCGAACCCGCGGGCACAGGCAATCCACCCACCTCAGCCTCCCAAAGGCGCGGGATTACAGGCTGAGCCACCGACCCCGGCTGGAGCCTGATCTTCTAACCTGTTCTGTTGTTTACCTGCCTTTGTCTTCAAGCCAAACATTTGTATTTTCTAGTACTTATTTCACATCCTAAAGATCTTTGATATCCTAATAGGAGGTGATGGCTTGATGTTTACTGCATTGTTTTTAAAATGTTGAATACAATTGTATAGCTTTCCATTTTAGAAGACTGAATAATCAAAAAGAAAAGATCACCAGGTATTAATTGCATAGTACCCTATTAGTTGGTACTTACGCTTGTGCTTTTTATGGCAGGGAAATTTTATTTAGGTCAATTTTGAGATCTGTGTGAACAATTTTTTCAGTTTGAGAGTACAGGTAGCTTGTCAAGAATTGGCCAACTTTTGCTGTGAAGGGCCAGATAGTAAATATTTTAGGCTTTACAGGCCATGTGGTCTGTGTCTCTGTTAGCAGCTTTTTCCTTTTCCTATAGCTGGAAAGCAGACACAGAGAATACTTAAATGAGCTGGGTGCCATTGTTCAAGCCTGTAATTCCAGCACTTTGGGAGGCAAAGACAAGAGGATTGCCTGAGCACATGGGTCTGAGACCAGCCTGGCAACTTGCAAGACCTTGTCTCTACAATATATAAAAAAAAATTAGCTGAGCATGGTGGCACGTGCCTGTAGTCCCAGCTACTTGGAAGGCTGAGGTGGGAGGATCACCTGAGCCCAGCAAGTCCAGGCTGTGGTGGCTATGGGTATGCCACTGCACTCCGGCCTGGGCAACAGATTGAGACTCCAACTCAAAAAAAAAAAAAAAAAAAGAGAAAAAGAATACTTAAATGAATGGGCATGGGTTCAAATAAGTCTATGTAAAAAAGTCTTATGAATGGGTTCAAGTAAGTCTCTATGTATAAATACAGATGGTGGCCTTTTGAAGGTAGTTTGTTGAATCCTCTAAAATCAATAATATTTGGATATTTGACCTATGAACCTACATTACAACTAAAGAGTGTTGAAAAAGAAATCACCAGGTTGTGATGTATACCTCCTGCAGTGAGTGCACTGGAAAAGGCAGTGATTCACAACCTTTCTTTGTCTTCCCTTGTAGAGATGTGGTATGGTGTGTTCCTGTGGGCACTGGTATCTTCTCTCTTCTTTCATGTCCCTGCTGGATTACTGGCCCTCTTCACCCTCAGACATCACAAATATGGTAGGTTCATGTCTGTAAGCATCCTGTTGATGGGCATCGTGGGACCAATTACTGCTGGAATCTTAACAAGTATGTTAGACATTAAAATACCAGTCAAAAACGTTTAATATACTACTAGTCAGCTAAATTCAGAACCCATTTTAGAAAAAACATATCTGCATGAGATGAAGAAAAAGAGTGGCTTTTTAGCACGAGTGCTGTGTTTAATGTATTGATTTTTTTTTCTTGTCTTCAACCACCCCCATTATTTATCTTTGACTTCCTGAGTCAGATTTTCTCAGTGGGTTGAGAAAGCCATGTTAAGCTTTGTGAGATCCGTCTTGTGAGAAAGGCCACTGGCAAAGGGAAAATATTTGTCTTTTCGGAAGCCACTACTTTCCGATCAGCTATGACTTGATCTGCAAGTGGCCTGCAGGATGGTTGATGAATTACTTCCACTCATGTGGGTGTGGTTACCTCAAGGATAGAAGACTAGTTCTTATGACAAGAATTCTTGCTTTAAAAAGTACCTGACTGCTGGGCTTGGTGGCTCACGCTTAGAATCCCAGCACTTTGGGAAGCTAAGGTGAGAGGATTACCTGAGCTCATGGGTTCAAGATCAGCCTGGGCAACTTGGTGAGACCTCATCTCTACAGTAAATTAAAAAATTAGCCGGGCACGGTGGTGCGTGCCTGTAATTCCAGCTACTTGGAAGGCTGAGGCAGAAGGATCGCCAGAGCCCAGCAGGTCGAGGCTGCGGTGGCCGTGAGTGTGCCACTGTACTCTAGCCTGGGTGACAGAGTGAGACTCCAACTCAGAAAAAAAAAAGTACTGATTTGTGTTCTGATTATTCTTTTCCTGTCTGAGTAAGAATTAGAATAACATGTTTTTATAAATTATTTTTATAACCTGGTTTGATTGGATTTTTTTGTTTGTTTTGGCTTTTGCTCACACCACAGAATGCTATTACAGAAATGAATTCTATTACAGAAATATGTTTAAATCATTTTTAAGCTCATGCTTAAATATAAACATGTATGTTTTATGTAAATTAAAAATGATCAGTAGCAAAGAAAATTAAAAATCCTTCATTTTTCATACCCAGGTAGTAACCACAGTTTGCATCCTGGTATGTGGACATTTTTTTTAATGTGTCATGTAAACATAAATACATTTTTATAATATGAAATGTAATAGTCCTACTAATTTGTATCTTTTTTCTTTTTTTTTTGAGTCAGAGTCTCACTCTGTTGCCCAGGCTAGAGTGCAGTGGCACGGTCATAGCCACTGCAGCCTTGACCTGCTGGGCTCAGGTGATCTTTCTGCCTCAGCCTTTCAAGTAACTGGAACTACAGGCATGTGCCATCACGCCCTGCTAATTTTTTTTTTTTTTTAATTGTAGAGATGAGGCCTTGCCAAGTTACTCAGGCTGGTCTTGAACCCATGGGCTCAGGCAATCCTCTTACCTCTGCCTCCCAAAGTGCTGGGATTATAGGCTTGAGCCACCTGGCTTTTCTTTTTTTTAGTCAGAATCTCACTCTGACTCCCAGGCTGGAGTGCAGTAGCATGTTTATGGCCACCATAGCCTTGACCTACCGGGCTCAGGTGATCCTTCTGCCTCGGCCTTCCATGGAGCTGGAACTACAGGCGCCCGCCACCACACCCACCTAACTTTTTTTTTTTTTTTAATTGTAGAGAAGAGGTCTCACCGAGTTGCCCAGGTTGGGCTCAGACATTCCTCTCACCTCAGCCTCCCAAAGTGCTGGGATTACAAGTGTGAGCCACTGCGCCCGGCTTGTAACTTTTTTTTCACTGTGAATTTAAAGGTTGAACTTCAAGCAGAAATCTTCCTCTGTCTCTTTGACTTGAATTTGTTTTGAGAGAAAGTGGCCTAGTTTCTCTGTGTTCTAACTGTGTCCTAACTGTTACTTTAGAGACCGTCTGTTCCAGTTTCTGCATTGGGTTACTGGCCCCCTATGGCCTGTCTCAATTTGTTCTTCAATAAAATGGGGCTAATACTACCCACCTCATACCCTTGCAGGATGCTTAAATGAGATAATGTACATATAAAGTACTTACCATAATACCTGACATGTATTGTGCAATAAATGTTATGTTCATTTCCATTTTTAAGGCTCTATTAATAGTCTGTTCCCTTCCCATTTTGCTTCTTGGTTGGATACACTTTTTCCTTTCTTTTCTTCTTCATTGTCCAAATCCCACTTTAGAGTCTAGTTCAAGTTCTTTAAGCTTCTTTCTACCCAGCTCACTCTTTGTGTAGCTAAACTAGGTAGGGACCCAATGAAACATATGCCTCTCGGATCTTAGTAATACAGAACGTATGCTTAGAGGTGGGCATTTCAAATGACAGATGTTTAAGGCAACCAAACTTTGGTTAATATTGTTTTTTCTTCTTGTTAAAATATGTTAATATACCTTCATATCACATTTATAAAATGTGTAGACATGTGATTGAGACTCTTTTAAGTATTACTTTGCATTACTGAAAAATCTGGTTTTATCTTGGTCACTAGCTAGATTCTGAGAACCTTGAGAATGGGGATCACATCTTATAAACAGAGAAGTATTCTATAAATAAATACTTAAATGAACGATTACTCTGTGACCAAAGAGAATTTTGTTTGGAGTATTTAGCAGGAAGGGTCATCTGGGAAATCTGGAATTATTATTTTTAAACTAATGAAATGTTGACTTTCTTGGTACAATGCTGAGTCCTCGTAGCAACACAGATGGGTGTCTGGGTAGATACAGGAGTTTTAGTTTTGTTTTCTCAAGTTTTAGGCAGTTATAGCAACTAACATAATAAAAACAGTCAATGACCTGGGAAAGAGAAAGGAATCCTTGATTATCTCTCCTTTCCTGCCCTTTGACTTAATAACAACTTTATGGCTAGAGTTCTCCTCTCTTCCTTTTCCCACCCTTCTACTCCCTCCTCCATCCATTTCTTGAAGGGAACTCAGTTTAATAGAAGCTGTGAAAAATTTCTTTCTCAGCCTAATTCAAAAGATTCTTTGTCATTTGTTGCCACTAAAGAATTAGATACCTGTTCAATGCTAGGCATGGGGCTAATGTGGGAATTGCCATCTTTGTGATTTTAATTATTACTTCCAGATTATTGTATTCAGTGACTCCAGGAGACTCTGAGTGTTAAGGAGTCAATATCTAAAAGTACATTATCAGTTATCTGCAAACTATATAATGCATATTTAAAATCTAGAATAGTCAACAGAAAGAATAGGGAAAGCCAAACATTTCTGAAATGTTTAAATTTTGATGTAAAAAACCTGGGACATTAAGTGCTGTATTTTCATGATTTTTTAACTTTTTTGTTGTTTCTTTTTCTTTTCTTTTCTTTTCTTTTTTTTTTGAAATTTCAATCAGGTGCAGCTATTGCTGGAGTTTACCGAGCAGCAGGGAAGGAGATGATACCATTTGAAGCTCTCACCTTGGGCACTGGACAGACATTTTGTGTTGTGGTGGTCTCCTTTTTACGGATTTTAGCTACACTATAGCGTAAACCCCTATGTTGAGATGTTGAACCCAAGTTTTATAGAATCCTCAAAAAGAGTATGTTATGGAGTACAATGTTTTCTTAGTTCTTCAAATGGAAGCAGCTTGGATGAATAAGAATGTGAAGACAATATCTCAGCTCTTTAGCTCTTTCTTCAGTTTGAAGCTCCTGGAATTGAAGATTTTTGAACTCCTATCATTTTCAACCAAAACAAAACAAGTTTCTTGGCTTTCTTTTTTGTGGATATTTAATTTAAGCAGTTTTACGTGTGCACCTTTACCCACACCAAGTTAACAATGCCTTTGGGTTGGCGTCCCTTGCACTGAAATGTACAGAATTGTGACATAATGCAGTGCCACATATTTCAAAGAAACTATGAGAGATACTGGTGTATTTTAGATGAGCAGAGTATGCTGTATTAAAATCTTAGTTGGTCTCATCTTGATTAAAATATGGCAAATTCTTCTTTTGCTATATCTTAATGACAGTAAGTGCCAAGTAGGTTTTGGTTACGTGTAGCTTTGAAAACAAATTTGGTGAAATAAGACAGGAAAAAAAAGTTGAAGTATAACTCAAGTAGTGGCATTGCTCTATTTAAAAAAAAAGTAAATAACACTGAATAATGTGAAATTTTCTAGATAACTGTCTTGACCTCTGATTATTTAATATATTTTTTAAATGTGAATTTGTTATTTTGTACATTTTATCAAAATAAGCTGGCTAATTAGACTTTTTAAAAATATTCTTTGTATCACCTTTTTCATATCACTTTTAATTATATTAATTTTATTTAGTTGAATTGGAAACATACAAACCATACCCTGCTAAATAGCTTGAATTGGACATTTTAAGCCAGATTGGTTAGGCCACTCTTTGAAAATTGAGACACAAATAAGATTGTTTAAACATTCTGTCTTAGTTTTTCTTAGTGACTCTGATTTATAAATGACCCTTGATAAATTGTTGAAGTGCACCTTAAACTTGAATTAGTGGTTATTGATTTCTTAATGTGTTTACCTAGTAGTGGCTCTTCAGCTCACTTTTACAGTATTGGGTATCAACTTCTAGAAAGTGCCTGAAGTTTCATTTTCAGATATGTACTCACTCTCCCCTTTACATTTTAATTCAAAAGAATTTATATCCTTACAGAGATTTATATATCAAGCATTTTTAAAATTTAATTTTAGCTATTTTAATTTTTATTCTCTTGCCTTTCTTTTTCATTAAAAGGCCTAAAAACTGTGAACTTCAAAAGGGAAAAGATGGCAAAAATTAGGTATCTGATTTGATCCATACCACCTAAACTGTTTTATATGGAATACAATCTATGTGGTTGTTTTTGTTACCTGTTTTCAAAATACTTTCTGGAAATTAAGTCCCGGCCACTGCAGCCTCAACCTGCTGGGCTCTGCCAATCCTTCCGCCTCAGCCTTCCAAGTAGATGGAACTACAGGCGCGTGCTACCACTCCTGGTTAATTTTTTTGATTTATTGTAGAGATGAGGTCTCGTCAAGTTGCCCAGGTGGGTCTCAAACCCGCAGGCTCAGGCAATTCACTCATCTCGGCCTCCCAAAGCACGGGATTACAGGCTGAGCCACCGAGCCCGGCCAAGTCTGACATTTTTAAAGAAAAGTTTTATTGTGAAATTAAGGCTAACAATTCATAAGGTCATGTGCACATGAACGTATTTATTCTATTTAAAGCAGTATACACTCTGGCTTCTGATTAAAAATAGCTAAGAAGCCAGGTATGGTGACTCATGCCTGTAATCCCAACACTTTGCAAGGGTGAGGTGAGAGGATTGCCTGAGCCCATGGGTTCCAGACCAGCCTGGGCAACTTGGTGAAACTTCATCTCTGCAATAAGTTTAAAAAAAAAAAAATAGCCAGGCGTGGTGGCGTGTGCCTGTAGTTCTAGCTACTTGGAATGCTGAGATGGAAGGATCACCTGAGCCTAGCAGGTTGAGGCTGCAGTGACCATGAGCGTGCCACTGCACTCCAGCCTGGGTGACAGAGAGTCCTCCAACTCAAAAAAAAAAAGAAAAAATAGCCAAGGGGACCAATTTGCCAGGAAAAGTCATAGGAAAAACTACACAGAGATCACAAAATTAATTAGACATTTATTTTCTTTTGACTAATTAGACCACCTATCAAAATAATAGTGATGTGTACTTAGGCAAAAAATTGATCCTAAGGCCGGATGTGTTGACTCATTCATATAAACCTAGCACTTTGGGAGGCCAGGGTGAGAGGATTGCTTGAGCTCATGGGTTGAAGATCAGCCTGGGCAACTTGGCAAGACCTCATCTCTACAATAAATAAAAAAATTAGCCAGGCATGGTGGCGCATGCCTGTAGTTTCAGCTACTTGGAAGATTGAGGCGGAAGGATCACCTGAGCCTAGCAGGTCGAGGCTGTGGTGGCCATAAGCATGCCTCTGCACTCCAGCCTGAGCAACAGAGTGAGACTCCAACTCAAAAAAAAAAAAAAATTGATTCTAGCTTTTCAGTCAGTCCAAGGAGCTGTGATTTTACAAAGTATCCTTTCAGTTTATGAAATTTGGAGGTATCTCTCTTATTATGAAAAAATGATTTTGGTCACCTCTATTGAAGGATGCTTCAGTATTAGAGTTCTCACCTAAAACACTCTGGAGATATATATTATTATTATTATTATTATTATTTTAGTTGGAGTCTCACTCTGTTACCCAGGGGGCAGTGGCATGCTCCCGGCTACCACAGCCTCAACCTGCTGGGCTCAGACAATCCTTCTGCCTCAGCCTTCCAAGTAGCTGGAACTACAAGCACGTGCCACCATGCGCAGCTAATTTTTTGATTTATTGTAGAGATGAGGTCTTGCCAAATTGCCCAGGCTGGTCTCGAACCTGCAGGCTCAGGCAATTCGCTCACCTCGACCTCCCAAAGTGCTAGGATTATAGGCGTGAGCCACCATGCCTGGCCTTGGGGATATGGTTTTATAAACTAAACACGTGGGCCAATAGTTGCTGGGCCCCACCCCTTAGACTAATTTTTGAAATACTGATCCATGATTAAAACGTTAGATAATTTTTCTTTGGAGCCAAGACAAAATTAAGGCATTTGAAAGATGTCTTTGTTTCTATTTCTTGTTCCATATATTTTGATTATCTACTCTTTTTAGAAATTTTAAATGTAAAAGGTATCTTCAAATTATTGAAAGTTCTATCTATCCCGGTATGTGAAGCATTCTCCTGTGAATAAATGTAGGTAGACTTCATATAGATTGAGCTGTGTAACTTGAAATGTTTTCAGAAAGAAGTTATTTGAATCATAATGTATATTCCACTTAGATTTTTTTTTTGGTCTCAAATATAGAATTATTTGGGGGTGGCTGCTCAGATGGAAAAATATTGGGAGCTGTGTTGAACATTATATTTCACCTTATGTAGTTCTGAGAATTGTTGCCAATGACTGATTGTCTCAGAAGCATGCAACTACCCCTCCCCCAGCTGTGCTCCCACCCTTCCCTTTTTTGGGGGTGGAGGGTTTGAGGCAGCCCCCAACCATTTAAGATAAAAACTGATTTCTTGATTCTTTAACGTGAGGTTGGGAGTGAAAGTATTTCATGAACACTTAAACTCGTGTACAAGTACATAATGACTATTACAAGAGAAAGATGTCTCTCTGTGCTATTATTTTTCTGCCATAAGATACTACTTATTACAAAATGTTTAAACTGTTGAGAAAAGGTTCATTAATTACCTTTGAAGCATTCCTCATGTTATTTTTCAGTTTTTAAATTGTATGTTGGCTTTTGATTCCAGTGTTCCTTCTGATTGCTCTGGTTAATTAAATTCTTATTACACTGCAGCACATACCAACCTTTCCTAAGTAACCATTTCCTGGAATGTGAAGCCCTGGTGCCATTAGTGATCCATACGATCCACACACAGAAAGTTTTGTGTACTTGCATTTATTTTTTGTGCACTCTGTAAGGTTGGTTGTGACTAAAATCAGTTTACCTTTTATATTAGGTTATTCCACTAACAGCTACAGTCAAAATGATCAAATCTTTGTACAATAGGAAATTATTTAAATCTTATTTTTCTACTGACATTTCTAATTCCAGTGTAAATGTTTATCAATAAAAAATTACTTTCAATTCTGTGAGTTGGAGTTTTGTCTTTTTCAGTGACCAATGAGTTTAATCTTTTGTAATAAAGTTGTCTGACCTCAGTATTTTTTTGTTTTTGAGTCATAGTCTCACTCTGTCACCCAGGTTGGAGTGCAGTGGCATGATCATGGCTCACCATTGGCTCGACCTCCTGGGCTCAGGTCTTCCTCCCACCCCAGCCTCCTGGGTAGCTGGGATAACAGGTGTGCACCACCATGCCTGACTAATTTTTTTATTTTTTTTGTAGAGGCGAGGTCTTATTATGTTGCCCACACTGGTCTTGCCTGGGCTCAAGCCATTCTTCCACCTCAGCCTCCCAAAGTTTTGGGATCACAGACTTGAGCCATTATGCCCAGCTAGTTTTTGCTTTTTTTTGAGTTGGAGTTTCACTCTGTCACCCAGGCTGGAGTGCAGTGGCATGCTCATGACCACTGCAGCCTTAACATGCTGGAACCCCAGGCATGTGCCACCATGCCCAGCTGATTTTTTGACTTATTGCAGAGAAGAGGTCTCGCCATGTTGCTCAGGCTGGTCTTGAACCCCTGAGGTCAGGTAATCCTCTCACCTCCACCACCCAAAATGCTGGGATCACAGGCGTGAGCCACCACGCCTGGCTAGTTTTTGCTTTTTATTTTATTGAGTTGGAGTCTCACTCTGTCACTCAGACTGGAGTGCAGTGGCGGCTCAGCGTGTAATCCCGCGCCTTTGGGAGGCTGAGGTGAGTGGATTGCCTGAGCCTGCGGGTTCGAGACCCGCCTGGGCAGCAAGACCTCATCTCTACAATAAATCAAAAAAATCAGCCGGGCGTGGTAACGCATGCCTGTAATTCAGGCTACTTGGAA